GCCCTCTCTCTCTCTCTCTCTCTCTCTCTCTCTCACTCACTCTCTCACTCTCTCACTCTCTCACTCTCTCACTCTCTCACTCTCTCGCCAGTGTCAACATTATCAAACAAAGTTCTCCTTTAATAATTGCAAGTACTAAATTATTGTATTGGAAATATGGCCGAGGCAGTCAGAAAAATAACACGTAATATTAGCTCGTTTTATCGAATGGCCTCGTTATTTCATCACATCCTCGTTCCTAACGAGCAAAACTTATCCTATTATTTCCATTTAGATTTAGAAATACTTTCGTAACGCTACGAGCGAATTAAAACTCTTCGTGCTCATAGTACAATGGCTGGTTGGCCATTCATAATGCACATTGTTTAATCTATAGAAGAGCGCTGGGTGTAAGAGTCAATGAGAGATCGATCTTATTACTTAGGTAACGCAAAGCAAACGAAAGAGGAAGAGAATTTCTTCTCTCGCGTTCTCCTGTTAACATAAGCTGTGCAAGTGTCGGCGGTTGGGGAGGGGACGGGGGAATGTTTACGAGCAACTTCCGCGTCTCGCGTACTGTGACCAATGAAATATCAAAGCTATCGGCCCATAAAACGACCCTCACTAACGAAATATTCAACGATTGCATGCATCTAGGGCGCATGGATCTTCCCCCACTCCCCGCTACCCCTCCGCCCTAGCCGCTTGTTCCAATCCCCTATCATTCGTTCCGTCTACATCGTAATCATTCCTCTTCTTCTTTTTTTTTATTTTCTTCGTTTTCTTTCTGCTTATATATCCCGCCATTGTCAAACGAGCACAAACACATAATTTCATCGCAAAGTCAAATGAAGTTTTACATAAACTCATTGCACTTTTTGCTTTCTAAACTCCGTATAATGACGTATTTCTCTTCATTCTTTATATAATAATTCCAAGCAGTTGCTGTTTTGGAATGATTAGATGGCATCGTCGCGCTCTTGTTGATTAAAAATTTCCTCTTTCTCTCTTGCGTAACTATGCGGCAAGAACGTTCAAAAGAGATAATAGGTTTGTAGATATTTAAAAAGCACCTCACTTGTACGGTAAACGAAATATTGTAGTTTACTAAGTGAATTTACTAAATGATAAAACGAGGATATTGCATAAAATCCCGGCAATTCCAATCGCTGAACGTGTACGTATAATAAATTACGCATACATTCGGAGATTTTGAAAATCTTGATAAATGTAAAATTGATTAAATTTTAATAAAAAATGATATTATCTGCATTATGCAGGATGAATGCATTATTGGTGAAGTAGCAATTATCTAGGCCATTGCCTAATATTACTTTCATCCCTAGAACTTTCATAAATTGAGCATAATTCATTTAACGCATTGTATTAATAAAATTGGCAATGCAGAATTGTTTATGCTACTTGCAACGACAACTTTAATAACAATTTACCGGAGCTGACTTATTTGCGCGAGTGTGAAAATTTTCGTTATTCGTTAAAGAAATTTTAATACCTTGCCACGTTTGTAATTTTTTTCTTCTTCAATTGGTTTCAATGCTACTTACTTCCTTTTGCAAAAATATATAATTACTTGAGCTAGGCACAGTTGGTTTTTATCGAAAACATCTTTTTCCCTTTACTTCGAGTACTTTAATCCGTATCGAAACTCATTAGTCCACGTTTAATTAATAACCCACAAAAAGGGGTGGAGTGACGGGGAGGTGATGGGGGGGGGAGGGGAGATATTGTTATAAAACACAAAATACTACATTGTTGGGCGATCGAGTAAGTAATTAAGACCAAGGATAATTGTTATATTACAGGACTTTCGTAACCTTTCGCTTTCGGCATAACGGGCTCTTAATAAATAAGCAATTGTTTCATTTAATCTCGGCGTCCGAGAAAATGAAAGTGGCTGGGCAAAGAGGCGCTCGGGCTGCGTAACGAAAGAACAACGAGTACACGTTGATAAATTTTGTCTCGAGTGAGCAGCCAGCAGCCAGCAGCCAACAGCCAGCAGCCAGGGGATGGTGTGGTGTAGTGTGGTGTGGTGTGGTGTGTTGTGGTGTGGTGTGAGGGAGACGGCCTTTGCATCGCGCTCGTCCCGCGTCTTTGTTTCGAAATTACGGAAATAGAGTGGCAGGCCAAGTGTAATTTTCTTTAGCGGGGCACAAACGTGGCAAAAAAAGAAAAAAAAAAGTGGCGAACCCTCTCCAAAAACTCGAGAACTTCCCGAGAAGAAGACAACATTTTCTTTAGTGACTTATAGGGAGACGCCAAGGCGATGAATATTTTCTCATCCGCGTGTACACGATCGCGTTCAGTTCGGCCTTATAATAAATATGGCGGCATCTAATTATCATTGCATTATTATTATTGTTTTTGTTAGCTCAATTCCAGTGTCACTCAATTACCTTTCGCTCACTCCCGATGGCTGTCAATGAAGAACAAATTTAAAGCTTTTAAATTGATGCGAGCACTTTATGACGATCGAGAATAAAAAAGCTTCCGCTAACACAATTTGTCATGCACTCGTACGCTAGTGGAAAAACACGAGAAAATGTATTAACCTTTAATAACGAATACGGCATACGTTGCATTAAATTGCAATATCTCATTATACATATATATATATATATATATATATATATATATATATCTTTTTTTTTTATTTTTTTTCCCCTCCCCCCTTCCCCATAACACCGGGCCATTATACATAACCCCGAGTCCGTTTATTCGTAATTGAAAATGCGGTCAAAGCACGTCAAATAACATGTAAATTTTATTCCTACTGACTGGCCTTTTCTTCTGAATAATCAACATAATCTTCATAATACCGATCATCTCTCAATAATGTCCCAAGTAACATAAATTACAAAGCCATAATGCAATAATACCAACAATGGTAAATAATACACCGAGTTCCTTGTCACAAGCTGCACAATAAAGCAAAATATAAGTTTATTTATGTTGATAATTCATAATATTGTATACAACATTAGACAGACGAACATTTCGCAGTAGATTCATTAGTGCGATATAATCTGCCATTTATTGATTAACGGCAGGACATTAAAATAATAATTTGGTAAATAACCGCACATTGTAGTTGGCCGCGAACATATGTCCCAGGCGCAATTTAATTCCAACCTTCTGCCCGACGTCCATTGCATTTGCTCGCAACGTCCCGCAAATACGTGGATGATTAATAATAACGTATGCCTATCTTTGTTGTTCCTCCAGGATGGTCCGCATGATCGGCGACGAGTTTCTCACCGAGGAGCGAGATCGGAAGTACTACGCTGACCACTACACCTGCTGCCCGCCGCCTCTTTTCATCATCCTCATTACGCTCGTAGAGGTGAGTGAGCACACAAACCTTTACACAGCCGTGGCATATTCGCTGCATTTACTCTTTCGCGGTGTGCGTGCGATGCCTAGGTGCATAGGTGCCACGATGCGTGGGTGGGTGGGTGTATATGGGATTTTTATACAGCGTGACTCAGCGTGTACGACGTGGTGGATCGACTGACTTTTGTGAGCGAGCACTGTGCTCTCAACCATCACTCTCGCCTTCGTTTATTCTCATAACTTTCTTTAACTACGTTTGCTTTTCCCCACCGTTCCTCATTGTTTCGATAATTTTTCTTTTTCGTTCTTCGTCTCTCTTCCAATGCTCCCCAACGCCTTACAACGTGCAAGACGCTTTTACATTTATCCGGCTCTTTATTCTCATCTTATTAAGTCTTGAGATTTTGACAACGATTTTTTTACCCGACAAACGAAGCGTCGTGGACTTTCTTCTAAAGATAAGTGTTGTGTATCTTTGGCTTGTCCCGGCCATAAAACGTCGAGGGAAAAGAGAAAGAAGGTAACGAAGAAAATTTATTACGTTTCATCGGGGCAGCGCCTCGCGTATAAGGATCGGTTTCACTGTTATTATTTAAATCGCGAGCCAAGTGCAAATGAAAAAGGAAAAGAGAGTCGTCGGCCGAGATAAACTGTCGGCGCGGCTGGAATAAGTGAAATTATCGCGCGACTCGTGAGCGAGTGAGAAGGAGAGAGCAGACGCCATAAAGTGCCGTGTAATTGGCCAAAAGGCAGCATTCCGCAGCGGTCGTAAAACACTTTTGAAAATTCGCCGAGTATCGGAGTGATGTCGCGCTCGTAAAAAAAGGTGTTCAGCTGTCCCCGTCGAGGCTGGTCGAGCGTTGCGGTTAACGTGACTCGCCAACATCCCTGAAAACAAGCCGTCGATGCCCGCGGGTGGCTCTCATTAATTAAATTCCAGCCCACCTCGCTTCCGCTTCCTCTCTCTCTCTCTCTCTCTCTCTCTCTCTCTCTCTCTCTGTGTGTCCCTACTCCTGGTGCCGGTTTCGCCTTCTCGTTGGTGGGACTCGAGAGCTTAAGTGTAGGGGTAAGACTTTGATGAGGATGGGGGGAGGGGCGAGGAAGAGAGAGAGGAAGGAAAGCTTTTCCATGGGACCCTCGTGAAAGTGCGAGAAGGGGGACTTTTAATATCTCCTTGACTCGCGTCCAATCTCGTCGTTAAATATTTTTGGAATTATCTTTGCCGAGACGTTTTTCGCGCGCTGCTAAAATCCCTGGGAGAATCTACGAGCGAAATCGTATCGTTAACAGCCATTTATATATATATATATATATATATATATATAGATATATAGATATATAGATATATAGATATATAGATATATAGATATATAGATATATAATCACACTTTTGCCAGTCGACGGACAAATTGTTAGATGGCTTTTTTTTCATTTTTTTTTTTTCATGGCCAATTGTTTGCAGCAGGAAGTGCTTTTCTAGCGGTGACTATCGCCCATGACTTTCGAAACTCGACCAATAAAGATCAAGTCGATAAAGCTCGTGAGAAACAACTTGCAAACTCCGGGCTTTCGAAAGCGTGGGGAAAATATATTTCTTCATCGCTTTACCGAGTACGTATGTGGCGTAGAGTGCGAGTAACATTAGGCGAGCCAAATGTACGACATACGCTCGTCTAGAGCGAGGTAAACAGATCCCCCATTATACGGCTGTCCTGTAATTTTACGCCAAATCCTCGGTTATTAGCCATTAACGAGGGAATATTTGCTGGGTGATGGGACGGGAAGAGTGGTGGGGGGGGGGGGGGGGGGGGGGGTAACTATACGGCATCTCCGTTTTCATCGTTAGACATTCTCGTTGGTCCGATGCAGGGACAAGATGGACATCGTTAACGCGATCGGGACAAAGAGAGAAGCGACCGTCAAGCCGATCGTGCCTATAAATTGCACATTTGCGCGTCGCTAACCAATCAGATCCTGACGCTCTACCGTTAAATAAATAGCGCTCGGCGAGGCCGTAAACCGTTCCGCGACGCATCGGGCAGAAAAGTAGGGGTGATCAAACTTATCGACCAGAAATTTGTTTGCCCCGGTCATTCGTCAAATGGTACTGTACAATGATGGGGGAGGGTCGAGAGGGGGATTGGCCTCGACTATATCCATATTAACTCAAACCGTTTGATTTGTCTACGTTGGTAAGATTCGATTATTGTCAATTACATCGCGCGTACCGCGACTGATAACGGCCGATGATTCCCGAATCGGAAATTGTCGGGTTACCGGTACTGCTGCCTCTATTCTAACGACCACCTATTGTATCGATATATCTTTCTCACTTCTTTCGCTCCTCTGCCCAAACTCCCAATCGCTATTGGTTCTAGGTAGCGCCAAGTATTACCCAACTTCACCTTAACTAGTATACTCTTTCGTTATATTCATTGCAACATTATGGATAATTTTTCTAAAAATATGATTGGCCAATGTGGGCGACGACTATTTCATCGTTAACAAGTCAAGGACGAGAACAAGTTTTAAGGAAATGCATCTGCTTTCCCAACTACCATTAATTAATTATTCATTACTATCGTTAGTTTTTCTTTCTTTCTTAGTTTTTGGCTATTGTATTATCCTTGTCTTTCTAGAACACTTTCATACTTTAACCTAATTTAATCATAAATTTAAAGTAAATTTGTGTCTATACTCATTGCTCTTTACCGATACCATTTAAATTTTTTATTTTAAAGAAGATAGTTATGTTAGTTTATGGAAAAAATAGTGTAACCGATTTAAAAGATAAATGGTGGCCAATAGGAGTCAAGAATGGCCACGACCATCACTGCGAAAATATACGTCGCACATGAAGATGTTGTTACTACTGAAACACTTAAAGGGTCTCGAACGCTTCTTTAAATTGCAAAATTATCGAAACTTTAATAAAAACTTGAAGAACTATCCTTTTCAAACTATAATTTAATTTAAAAGCATTGTGCAATTTTAATTTTAAGCTCAACTAACTTCCTATGTCAAAAATTTAAGAAAACAATCATTGAAAAGATATTTGATAAACAATATCTCGCCAAATAATATTGCAATAATAAAGTAAAGTGGTCGATTAATATTTATACTTCATTAATATGCATATTAATGAATATTTTTCTTAACATAAATACGCGATTGAGTATTTATTTTTATTTTATGCGAATAAACTAGTTATTCATGAGATAAAATTTATCGTTTTATTTTATTATGCAATTCTATTACACTATCGATTCGTTTGTGCTTAATATTTATAATTACTTATATTGTAAAAAATACATGACAATATCTATTAAAAGTACACGTCGTTATTGCTGTTGTTATTATTCTTCTTCATATTATTATTAAGTTTATTATTCTACAGTTAAAAATATCATTTATTATTGAAATAATTGAGTTGGTAGTAATTGAAGAAAATCATGAAAGCTCGGTAATGTTTTTGAAAATTATATTCTACATTTTTTGTCTTTGTTTTCCTCGCACACACATACACTCATACACACACACACACATATAGCATATTATTATGTGAAATTAATAAAATATTTTATGAAATTTTAGCTCATCATTAAAAACAAAGTAATTGGTATACGTTAATTAAAGTTTTATGTAATTATTAAGAAGAAAATTTTTTAATTAAAAAAAATGATAATTTGTACTTTTTAAGAGTGTAAAATAGAGTAAATATTTATTAAATATACGAGTAAATAGATGAACGAATCATTTATGTTTAAAGCGGGAATTTCTTATGATCTGGATTTTAATATTAATTTTTATATATCTATGAAACAAATGCAATTGAAAAAGGAATACCATCGTTTTTAATAAACGCCGTTGTATTAAATACACGAATGTACAAAAACAAAAATAATAATGATTTATACGTATACACATGCTTATATATGTATATATTCATAATTTATCAAATTGTTATTTCAACGTTACTATATATTTCCAAAATAAAAATTAAAATTTCAAAAATAATTTCTTTTCAAATTTCAAAATTCAAAACCGTGTGGTATATATTTTTGAAAAATTAGGGTAATTATGTTATAAATTTTTTACCACGCCACGTGTATAAGCGGAAAATATAACACAAATAAAATTAAGCCATAATAATGGGGCAAAAGAAGGTCCAGTATGATTCCATTAAAGTTAATAATTATACAACATGTGAGAGCAGTGGTAAAAAGCCGGAAGGAAATGTTGAGTGAAATGATCTGTAGAGGCCGGTAATGACAAAGTGAATTCTTTTAACAAAAATAATTCCCTGTCCAAAAAAATCGACCATTTACTTTTATCGTTCTCACTTATATATATATATATATATATATATATATATTTCTCTACCCCTCGGGGGTTTAATAGCTGGTGTATAACGCTAGGCGCACACGATCGACTAAATGATAATTCGGAGGACTTTAAACGGCAGCCGCAATTTACATAAAAGTTTGTCGCTGATAGTTCCAACCACATCACTTGGCTCACACTTACACTCGCGTGAGCACACGTGTTTTCAGAATAGAAAGTTAGTAAGTGGGCATGTGAGTGAAAAGGGTGGCAGGGAGAAGGGGGAGCATAAACAAGCGAGATAGTATCGTTTCTCCGGATGGTACTTCGAAAATATTATAATCCATATGCCCGGCTAGTACAAGGATTTTGACTGCTCGAATGGGAGGAAGGGAGGGACAGAGAGCGAGAGAGAGAGAGAGAGAGAGAGAGAGAGAGAGAGAGAATGAAAGAGAGAGAGAATAATGGGCAAGCAATATGATAATGAGAAAAGCCTGATAAGGGCGAATCTACATTGAGTTAATAGCTTATAAATAAGATAATTTCATGTTTATTGTTATAAATATTGCTGTTGTTGTCGTTGTCGTTATTATTTGTTTATTTTTATTTTTTTCATCGATATTGCGCGAATAGGTACTATAAAAGGACGATAATGTTATTTGTATAGGTTTAACGTTAAATTGATAATTAGCATCGATAAAGGACGTCATCGAAAATATACATTGAATAATTATTATTTAGCACGAGAAACTGTCAATTTCTTCCTCGTGAGTTTTCGAAGGGAACTTTCATTCTTTGTGAAAGCAGATCTCCTCCATCCGATTAAAACGAATTTTACGGTAAAGTTGCTAGGGTCAAACGCGTACCTGGATTCACAAACTTAATCCGTAGCGATCTGTTATAAGTGTTTCATAGTATGTATGCAACGAGGATGCAGTCCTTTCCACGTAAGTTAAATATAAAACTTTCTACATTGGCTGATATAGTTGGGAATTTTACTTTATCGAAACTGCATCTTGTACTTTTAGTTCGTATCATTTGTAAAATGAGAAACTTAAGCAAATGTCATAAAATTTGTAGCACACTTTTTAGGCATTTAAAGCTTTGTTAAAGATTGTTATCTTGTATCATTATCAATACGTTCGGTAGTCATAAACTTTAATAAATTTCTTTTTTTGTTTTCATAAATATTGCAATCCATCAATTTATTAATTTTTTTTTTTTTTTTTTTTTTTATCACGCGACTCCAATAAAAATCATTCCCTGTATCAGAAAGCAACAATATATTCGAATATGTAAATTAATTTTATCCATTTCACAAAAAGAATGTTCCCTGCCAATTTTTCATTTATTTCATTTTAATTTTTTGTTAAAAAAATGTTTGAATAATCGCAATAAAGAAACAAAAATTACTTTTAATCTCTATAATATTAATAATCATTATTATTCAAGTCCTTTATAGTTTTGTCTTTCTTTTTTTTTTTCTTTCTTTTTTTTTCCACCCATGATAATAAAATTTTTTATTCAAACATAAAGACTTTATTCGTAGTTTTCAGCTTTTTTATCCGTAGCCGTATGCCGTCAGATGTTAATTTTCTTCTCTTTTCTAATCGAAAGCTATCGCGTTACAAATTGATAAACCATTTTATAAATGTAGTCATGATTTTGTAATAAGTCAGCGGCTATTGCAATTCTGCCCAAATCAAATAAATAATACTCGTTATAATACTCGGCGTACGTAGTTATGTTATTGCCGAAAGGACAAATTATACCACGTTTTATGTAATTACGAGCGCAACGCAAACATTAAACGAGTTGAAATTCGCGAGGGATTTATCAGGGAATAGAGAAAAGTGTGCAAAGAGATGAAGAAAGAATCAAACGACGCTTTCAAAAGCCCTGTATACTTTTATTTAACGTTTGAATCGTGTGGTATCCCAGCATCGAAAAAGCTGAAAAAGCATCCACGAAAGTTGTCACATAATCTGTACGGAGCATCGGAGAACAAACTGGGGGGGGGGGGGGTGTTGAAAAACAGCCCAAGCCCCCCCCTTACTGAAAAACAGCCCAAGCCCCCTCCTTACATTTCGTTTTTCCCAAAAAATCCTTTGTCCATAGCTGTACATTATTCGCGCTGCATAGCGATATATATAGAGACAGAGTGAGAGAGAGAGAGAGAGAGAGAGAGAGAGAGAGTATGCGTGTGTGTGATACACACACATATATATATATATATATATCGCATAAGCTCTATCTTGGCTTTCTCTTCTACCCCATCCTCGTATATTCAACGAGCGCGACGCCAAGGTTTGTCGGTTTTATAAAGTAACGCATCCCCGTGGTGGATCGAAATGTTTAGCAGCCAAGTTTAATGGAGAAAAGAGATACAAAGCTTGCGTTCCACCTATAATACACCGACGGCTTTATTTCGGCTCGACGTGTATTATCTCGCGTGTCTTGCTTACAACCCCTTGCCACCTGCCACCTGCCCAGTCGCTCCCACCCGCTCTTTCCTTTCGAGCCAGGGGATTTCCGTTAATTGATTTATTATTTATGTCAGGGATCGAGCCAGCTCGATTCCTCCTCGGCTTAGCTGCATAAAAGGATCGAGGAACTGCGTGGGCTTGGCAGCGTCGCGATAAAAAGTCTCGTCGATGTTTTGGAGATCGTACGCTTTTCGTGACTTTTATTATTCCAATTCCGTTATCCGTACTTGAGAAATTCATGTTGGTCGTCGGTGCGTCCAGTTTAGACTCGAATTAGCTGCAAAATACTCTACACGAATCATCAAAATGCGCAAATCAGTCACTTTCTTATCCTTAACTTTTTCTCTACCTTTGATTCGCGGCACTAATTCCTTCAATTTTTTTACAATTTCATCCAAGTGCTTGGCAAAGTTGGCGTACGGATGTTCCATTATTGGATAACGATGTAACCTCTTTGTACGATACTTGTGCCCGTGTATATTAAAGCTCTACGCATCCACCTGTGTAACTAATATAAATACAGCCTTAATTGTATCGAGCGACGTTATGAAATTTAAAAACGTTCAATAATAATGTTATAATGTATGTTGTTGTTATAAAGTTAGTTGAAGGGGGCGCATGTGTTGCCCAACAATCGGGAATAAAACAATTATAAAAGCCCGTGTATGTTTTATAAGTATAAGCACATTTGTTCGTCGTAATCTACATTACGATATCGTTGCAGCGTCGCGTAAGGTACGAGAACGAAAAAATTAGTGTGAGTGCCTTCCACGGCAATCTAACATTTTAGAACTTGCGTTTCATTGTCTGCGAACGTAAATCTTTCCAAGATCGTCGAAATTTATAGAGCATTTTTAAAGAATCGCCGTAAAAATATATATCCGCAGGAGATCTCGTAATTTTACAGAACGCTGACAAACAAAACGCCAGTCGAGGCGATCCGAGAATTAAGAAGCTTGCGTATCGCTTTTATTTTTTCCTCCTCCGGGCCTTGTCGCCTCGTCCTCCTCGGCGTTCCTATTTTAGCGAATCGATAATCCCGATCGTCG